GAGTGTCAGACACTCATGCTCAAGTTGTCTTATTAATGTTATTTTTGTTCTAAAAAACATTTGTTAATTTGGCATGCCAAATTCTCTCTTGATTAAAGTTGGATATGCCACCACATTGCTAAACATCTGATTGTCCAAATTCTTCGGTTTTTCATCATGCTTAATCAAAAAACTCCTGTTTAAAGGCCTATAGCAGCTCGGAAATTGTCCCCCCTAATTGGAGTTCTAGAGAGAAAACTCAGCTTACTCTATACTTATACAAGGGTCAATTGTTTAGTGATTTCAAGTGTTTGAGTATTTTGGTGTTTTAGTTCTACCATTCATTTTTTTCTATTAGTACCATTCACTTATTAACCTCATACTTCCATTAATTGTTTCCAACATACTGAGGTTAATTAGTTTCTTTATTTTCTTTTGTTTGGACAATATTCTGTAGGCAAATGGGTCTAAGGAGGGTAGAGTGTACGCAGATGTTACCCCTACCTTGTGAGGTAGAGAAGCTATTTCCAATAGACCCTCGGCTCAACAAAAACAATTCAATATAGGTTTAATTAATACAAGGTGAAAGAAACTCGGATGGAAATACTAAGAAAATATTTATAGTAAAAATAGAAAGATAACCAAAGCAAAAGAACAAAGTAGTGATAAAGTTGAAGAATAAGAAATAATAAAATAATAATGATAATATCGAAAAGGAGAAGAGGGAGCAAATAAGGTACTCCAAGCCTAAACCAGACCCTACTTGTGGGAACACACTGGGTATGTTGTTAATATTGATTACACAGTTTTCCATCTTTACAAAATCATGCCCACTCCATTTATAAACCCCCAAAAGGAGAGAAAACCAAGTTCTTACAGATTAAAGAGCAGTGGGACCAGTATGAAGGACTTTATTTATTTTACCAACGTAGAAAGACTTCATTTTCCCTATATCTCACTTGTAGTTCACCTTTACTTCTGCATGCTTATTGACTTATTTGTTATATAATGAAGATAACTGTTGGTTAGCAAGTAAAGAACTAAAAGTTTGGCGTTAGGTTCAATCCTTTTTGTTGCATTCTTCCTTGAGATTAGCTTTGTAACTTTTGATGTTTTGATCTTCTGAAGAAATGCAGTTATTAAAGAAAAACGAAATCCTAATCTGAAGAGGGTGACTTTATTTTAACACTTTTTGGAATGGCACTTGTGGAGCGCCTACTAAAGCCGCAAAGAAAATTCAGAAACATCATTTGCTTCTTGACAGTTGTGCCCCTTCCTGTACTTTTCTGCCATAATTAGCACATATTTTGTCTTGTAAAAAATTTATGTGGATTTGTCACGGATGGTTAAACTTTACTTGTATAGATGCACCAACTCAGAGTGCAATACAATGAGGAAGATTTGCAAGATATATCGGGCGCTAGTAAGTGGTGTGATGGATATGGATGAGGTAATAGCATAACATTATTCTCCCGGTTTCAATTTTTCTGTTGGAGTGTCTATTCTACGGCAGTCAATCCATCAGGTTACTTAAATTTAAAAGTAATTTTGACTGATAGGTTGTCATCAAGCAACCAATTGGTACAATTAAATATCCTGGAGTTGCTAAAGGGTTGTATGTTGCTTCTCCTTCAGGTTTTCAAATTTATTTATTTTACGCGAACATTTCCTTGATTAACTTTTTATAAAAGATTCATTCAGTTGTTATCATTCATGTGGTGCTTCAGAGGACACTAGTGTTGGCTTAATCTGTTCTGATTTTTTTTTCTAGGGAAGCCAGCTCTGAGCAGTGTTCGCGTTCTGGAAAGAGATTCAGAGAATAACTGCACATTGGTTCAGGTATTAGAAGTCAAGACATAAGAAATTTAATGTTATAGCCACCTTCCTTAACCTTCCTTACCCTTGAGCTGGAGAAGGAACCTTATATTTTCTTTCCTTAACGTTGTACATTATTAACAGGTTGAAATTCAATCTGGAAGGCCACACCAAATCCGCATCCACCTCTCTTTCATTGGATATCCACTAATTGGTAAATCTGAAATTTTATAATCTATCCTTCGCTATCATAAAAGAATTAAATATAAGCATAGAGGTGGAAATATCAGTTTGTCTTCTAAAAGAAACATGCACAAAAGAAAAGAGAAACACGAAGTTCACCAACTTCAGCCATGTATTGACTAGTACTCGACATTGGATGGTGCATTGCAAACATTTGTTGTTCTTAGTTCTATGAAAGCATATCAGTAAGTATCTACTTAAGTGCACGAGCAAAGGAGAAAAGGTGATGGAAGAACTTAAGTCTATACATTGGGTTACAATAAGAGAAAGAGTTCTGAACTATGCCTGTGAGTATGCATCTGCTTTGTTACAGAAATGTCAATGACCTCTCCGATGAAGTCAACATGAGGCCCTCTACAACGTAAATAATATGGGTCATTGGAATGTGTTTCTTCCTCTAGGTTATAGCCAAGCAAAAATGATTTGCTTATCTAAATGCAGGTTTAGATACTTGTTCCGTTGACGAACACTTGCTAACTTAAAAAAGAGCAGTTAGTACTTCCTTACTGTATCATTCATTATGTAATTTCTCATCAAACATCTCGTGTTCAGATTTTTACCGAGTATGCTCCCCTGTTTAATGTGGTCAGGCCAAGGCTAAGAATTGTTATCCCTGAGTTAATTGTAACTGTGTGCAAGCTGAATTTCTAGGCAACAGTACTGCATTCATAGACCCTAGGGTGTCTGTTTAAAGAGATTGGTTATGGAAAATATAATTTGTATACCTCATCAAACTAACCAATGTCAATTGATTAATCTGTGTGTATAATTAGGAGTGCTCTTGTAACATAACTGTAGCATGCTACAACAGCTTTTCTTTTCATGTAAGTAGTATTACAAACTTGTTTTGCTCCTTTTATGATTTATTAATAATTGTTATCTTACCAGGTGATCCTCTCTATGTATCTGGTGGGCAACCAAAGTGCTTTCATCCTGAATTAATGGATGAAAGTTTTGAGAAAGATGGGTATGAAATTGGACTTTTATTTATCGGTATTCATTTTAATTAGATAGTCCTAGTAGTAAACACTAACTGAATTTGCTATCTGGATTACCCTTCTTCCACATCTTTGGTTATCCTGTTAAGCGAGAAAGTACTTATCAACAGTGACCTTTATCATGACAGTTACAATAGTTTATACATTATGCCTATTTTGGACCAAATAAAGCTTTATCCTTCATGTTAATTGCGAAGATAGTCAAATTACTTAAAATTGAAACAGAAAGTAGTTTATTCTATCTAATCACTTTAAACAAGAACAATAGCTTTGTCTGCTGCTAATATCATGATCTGATTTTAGTTGGCTTTACTTTCTTATTAGAGGCTATCAAAGACCAGAGAATCCTGTTCCTGGAGACTGTGGATATAACCTGCATGCACATCAAATAGGTCTTATTCACCCAATCACAAATGAGGTTAGTTGTTTTTCTTAGTATTGTCTTAGAAACCAGTAATTTAGATGTTACCGATCTAACAAAATTCAATAATTTCAATGCGACATTTGCTTATTTACATCCCTGGTGATTCTATTATTAGTCATTTGCAGTTTTACAGTAATGAAACAGAGGAATATTCATCTGAAATGCTTGTTTTGATGAAACAGCGTTGCTGACAGTTTAAACTGTTAGATTACTTTATCGCTGTTATCACTCTATACCTTTATCTGGTAGCAGCACTGACTTTACCAAATGGGACCTTACTACCTTGAGCGTGATGTTTAAGGCTGGATGGGTCTCGACTCTACAAACCTTAAGCATGTACTCATCAGTTTCCCTTGGTCTTACTATAGAACTATATTGATTGAATGTTCCCAAGCTTTCGATGCTTTAGATTTGGGCTGGAACAAGTTCAGTTTTGGTTATATACAAAGAGGATCATATTTGACAATTGAATTGTGTTTTTTAAACATTTAAACAAGGCTACCTTGCTAGATATCTCAATTCAAAGTAATCTTTTTGACAGTACTTCATCTTGCAGCTTATCAAAATTACAGCACCTCTTCCAGCTATCCTTCAAACACGAGAAGAACGCGAAGCGAGCTAGCCAAACTCCAGCTAGTATGAGATAATTTATAGACACAAGAGACCAAGAAAGACAGACAAAGTTGCCAGTATTGAGCATTACCTGTTGTTTCGCTCATTAGTTTCACTTTACTGTTTTTAAACATCTTCATTTCTGTTTTTTCCATGAATATTTTCTGTTGTTCCTTTTCCCCCTTAAATTGATACGTATATTCCTCATTTGATTTCAGTAAGCAAAATTTTAATGATAAATTGATTCTTCCTTATATTATTACATTAATTAGATCTCTTTGGAGTAATTATTGCAAAGAAAAAGAAATCAACAATAGTGGAGGTTATATTCATTTGGATTATAACCCAAATGAATATTCAGATTGCATTAAACCTTTGGATTAAAGGTTTACCCTTGATAGCTGCAATATATTTGGATTTTGGTTGGGGGACGACTAGGCCAATTCATGCACATTATTTGTCTTTTCTCTGTCATTCACCGATATGTTTGGTAAATCGGCTAAAAACTGTTTATTTTAAGAAACATTTCAATTAAAATAGCTTTCATTAATTTTTTATTTTCATTTTGTTTAAGAACTTAAATGGAGCTGGTATCCTTGATCAACTTTACAAAGGTTTAAAAATATAGCAAATTAAGCTATTAGTAATGGAAGAAGTTATAATGAATCATTTGTAATGCATTAAGAATGATTTAAAATCTCACAAAGTTGAATGTCAATTCTCAATTGCCAACCAAATCTATCATGGTATTGTACTTGGTAAAGAACATGTCTCTGCTTCACTTTGTGAAAAAACTAATACTATTTTCATAACTAATAAGCTACCAACTCCATTTGTAACAAACATTCCATTCATTCATTGAACACTATATATATGGATCAATTTCATCAACACAAGCCATAACTTTTATGATTACATTCTCAAATTAATTAAGTCCTTAACAAAATACTTTTCATTATGGCTCAATCAATGAGGTTCTTCATGGTTATTGTTCTCCTTGCTTTTGCACCAATTTGTTTGTCTACTAAGACTTATGGTGGTTATCTATTCCCACAATTTTATGACCGGTCATGTCCCCAAGCTAAACAAATAGTCAAGTCTATTGTTGCCAAGGCCGTAGCCAAAGAGGCTCGAATGGCTGCTTCTTTGCTGAGGCTGCATTTCCACGATTGCTTTGTCAAGGTAAGGTTCTAATGTTATTATATGCAATATATCACACCCTATTTTACGTACTCCCTCCGATCCCAACTGATGTGACACAACTATCTAAGGTTAGTTTTAGACAATAAATTTCAAAAAATGATGACTAATTATTTTTCATGTAGGGGTGTGATGCATCTCTGCTTCTTGACAACAGTGGAAGCATAATTAGTGAGAAAAGATCAAATCCCAACAGGAATTCAGTTCGTGGATTTGAAGTCATCGATGAGATTAAAAAGGCACTGGAGAAGGAGTGCCCTCAAACTGTATCATGTGCAGATATATTGGCACTAGCTGCAAGGGATTCAACAGTTTTAGTAAGTTGAATAGCTATAATGTAAAAGTACAATTTTTTTTTAACTTCTCCCCCGGGAGCTCCCACCTTTGCTCCCTTGCTGACTCGAACTCACAATTTTAAGGTTGGAAGTATTGAAGGGTGCTAACCATCCGAGCAACTCCTTCTTGTCGTAAAAATACATTATATTTTAGGATTAACAAAATTCACATTTTTCATTTTTGTATATGCAGGCTGGTGGACCAAACTGGGAGGTACCATTAGGAAGAAGAGACTCCAGAGGTGCCAGTTTAAGTGGCTCCAACTATAATATCCCTGCTCCAAACAACACTTTTAATACCATTCTTACTAAATTCAAGTTGAAGGGGCTTGATATTGTTGATCTTGTAGCTTTATCTGGTAAAACTTTCTCTCTTTTGTTTTCCAAGAGGACATAGACGTTAACGAATTCAACTTATATGCACTGACAACGTATTAACATGTCCTTTTGAGCACTATATATCCTTTAACATGACTTGTAAACAAGTTATCACTCAATTAATGCCAAATTTTTGTTGTACAGGGAGCCACACAATTGGAAATGCAAGATGCACCAGCTTTAGGCAGAGACTTTACAATCAGTCAGGAAACAGTTTACCAGACTATACACTGGAACAATCATATGCTGCCCAATTGCGCGTTAGGTGTCCAAGATCTGGTGGTGACCAAACCTTATTTTTCTTGGATTTCGTCTCCCCGATAAAATTTGACAATAGCTACTTTAAGAACTTGTTGGCTTCAAAGGGACTATTGAACTCAGATCAAGTTCTTGTTACTAAGAATCAAGAGTCACTAGCACTTGTGAAACAATATGCAGAGAACAATGAGCTTTTCTTCGAGCATTTCACAAAGTCTATGGTTAAGATGGGGAATATTTCACCTTTAACAGGTTTCAGGGGAGAAATCAGGAAGAATTGCAGGAAGATCAACAATTAAAGGGGCATGAGAGAAATGAATAATTGCGGCTCTATATGTTTTTATGTATTTTCTTGTTTCTTTCAACATTCTTGAATTAAATATTTTCTGTGTCTTAATTTATGCGGCTAACTTTCTTTTTTAATCTATCGAAAAGTTCACTTTTCTATATTTAAAGTAATTTACCTTGACGAGATAATTTATATTCACAGAAGGCAAACGACTTACTATCAATCATGTTCTGGGTTCTCTGTTTTCTGTTTATGATATTCAAAATTGAATCACTTCAATTGTTCTTGCAAAATACCGGAAAAACGACTTTCATATAGATATGTAGTACTTCTTGAGGGTAATATAAGGGACCGATTGGGTTATGTTTGATGTTGTGTACCTTCCGGGCTTATGGGGTTTAGTTAGGTTATTCTTTGATTATTATTGTGTTGTTTGTGACAGTATCACCGACAATTTATATGATAGGGTTAGATTCACCCTTGTTTTCTTATATTTGATACCTTTTGTCTGAGTTGGATTGGATTGACCTATTGGTTTTTATGATGTTTTGTGGTGGTTACTGTTAGTATATCTTCGATTAGTTGACTTTTGTAGTAGAATATTGTTGTGATAAATTTTTTGGGCTAGTGCCTCCGGGTACATTCCTTTGTCTCAGTTACTTGCTTCCTTTATTCGTTTTCCTTGTCGTTGCTTACTTTTATTGTGCGTTCTCGGTTATTTAGCTACTTGTACTATATGCTCCTTCTTTACCTGTTATTTATACTTGCTTTGTCTTTGGAGCTCAGTCGGTCTATCATCTATGCCTACTCGGTATCACTTATAAGTATTCATACTACACTTCTGCACCCTGCAGATCCTAGTACGAGTTTTCGTTGTTGATGTGTGCCTCGTGCGAAACAACTTTTGGATTCGAAGACTGGGGTGAGCTCCTAGTGTTTGGAGTTGTCCTTCTCCTTCTGTTTCGTTATTTATATTTGGAGATGATTCTGTCTATTTCTTTTTTCGATAATCGTTCCTTGCTTTCCATATGTTTCTCTTTCACGTGATCGATTGCCACTTACTTCTGGTTCCGGGCTATGAGTTTGGCTTACCTACCGGTGGGACATTAGTTGGTGTCATCATGACCTGATATTTCAGACCGTAACAATTATATGATTAATGAATTGGATATACAAGGGGAAGCAACACTTAAGAGGATTCTGAAAAAGTCTGCATTATTTGTGTTTTTTGTGGCAGAGAGTGAAGATGCATTGGTAAATATGTGAAGACCTTATATTCTGAGAGGTGAAGCATATGGAGGAGTTTGATTATAGATTTTTTTTATTTTTTTATTATTATTATAGAAATGGAATTGGAGAATTATGTTAAGTTAGTGGAGTCTATTATTGATGCGGAGAAAGCTAAAACTGCATGTTACTTTATACATCGGTTTGGTTGTTATCAATTTTGATTCGATTTTTCAATTATTATCCATATAAAAGAAATGATTTATTTTAAAGGGAAAGAAGACAACAATTCATTAATAAAAAGTGAATTATCTTTATATTATTTTGGATCTTATAATTCTTGTACCAAAACTCCAACTACGTTCAACTCTATAGTGTCATTTAGTCTCGCATCATCTTGAGCAACTAGAACCGTCCTCTTTGTGTTGATCAACTTATTTTTATCAACAATCAGTTAATTCAATATGTATATATATAATTATAAAAAGATGGCCCTTTTGATACTTTTTTGTTTTGATCTTTTTTGATTTCTTAAATAAATTTTAATGAAAACATACATATAATTATAAAAAAAAATAAAAAAATAAAAAAATATATATATATATATATATATATAATTTGTCGATTTAATTCAGATACTTTTTAATCAAATCAAATAAAAATCGATTTATTTAATCAATTTGATTCAATTTTATAATTTAGATCGATTTTTACCAAATCGTGATAGTAATCAGAAGTATGTAGCCTTGCATTATTGATCCAAGTTAATGGTTTAATAATTCGTTTATATTTATCTCTTTCATTCCCTCATTCTTCACTTATCACTTGTATAATTTGTTCCTTGCTATTCTTACTTAAGGCTTTGAATATTTCTTTTACCCGTTTTGATTCACTCCATCTTTGCTAACTACATTGGATATATCACAAATGTTTACCAAGTCTGAAAAAAAAACAATCAAACTAATTAACACTTTTTAAGTTTAACTACTAAATGGACTAAATTATGAAAATAATGAAGGTACAAAAAAATCTTAAATATTTAGTAGAACTTTCTAGAATTTTGTAGAGTAATACGTTGAATTTTTGTTCTTGGAAAAAGTCCAATTTTTCTAGAGTATTAGATATTTGAGGGAGATATTTGTAGAAAAAAATAAAATATTCTAAACATTTAATATCTGAATCATCCCGAATAAATAGGGGTGACCTTAGTCATTTGTGATCAACCCAATTAAATCTATCAACCCATTCAAGAATTTTTGTTCCATAACAAATGCAAAAAAAAATTATTAACTCTTTTTAATTTTGTGAAAAATCTGTCAAGAATTTTGACAGTAGATTTGGATGGTCATTGAGAAGTACGACAACCTACATATATAAAAAAATAGTACGCAGTAACAAACAAGAACATAAAAGTCGTCTATAATATCTATATATTCAAACTAAAAATATTTTATCACTTCATGATATATATTTTTAACGTCCTTGCGTTCCTTTTTACCCATGAATAGAATATCTTGGAAGGAGTTCTATTCATGGTCATTTTCTAAACGTTTCTTGCAAGAAATCATAAGACAGTAAGTTAAAACTAAAGTCTTTTATGGAAGAAAGACATATCTTTTATTATCAAAATCATAAGATAATAGAACTGCAACATTTTTTTGTTCATTAAACTGAGTGCTTGTTCCGAACCTATTTTCTTTTCGTCTTCTTCATTGACGATTATTTCATACCCTTTGAGCAAGAAATGATTTAATCCAAGGATCAAACTAGAATGTCCTTTAAATAATTCTTTCACTCTTGCTATGACACCAACAACATCAATTCTTGTGAGGAATATCAAATACTTAGTCCCACATAAATAAGAATAGAAATAAAACGAATCATGACAATAAGCAAATTGCAGTAGCAAATCTTTTTCTCTTAAAGTCATTCATAACAACAAGGAACATGTTATACTTTTTCCCTTTGGTACGGAAAGATATCCTTAACTTCTTTCAAATAAGGGAACACATTATTTATTGTCAGCTCCAACTTACTATCTATGCGGTTGCCATCTCCTCTTCCGCACAAACTACTTTCATGAACTTGTGATTGACCATACCTAATTGAAAGAAAAAAATAAATACATCCAAATCATAGTCATAAGTATCCACTCAAATACATTACTACAAAATCAAGAGTGCGGTTTAACAATAAATGAAGTGGGTGAAATCATGAGAGATCAGAGCTCAAATTCTAATAAAGATTGGCGATAACTCCACATATTACTAAATCTTGGTGCGCAAAGTTACTACAAATATAATTATTAGAGATAGCAAGTTCAATATTTGAGATGCGCACAAATTGTAATGTCTAATATTAAATTTGTCAGTAAATTTAATTTAGACACTCAATCTATCATTTTTTTTAATTGAGCACCTAACATGATAATATCTTCAAAATTTTGATGAACTTGTGTGTGCACTCTCAAATATCTATTAGGTAGTTAAGTTAACCACAAAAAATAAATTATCTTATTTAATTATACACATCGATCTCAATTGATTGTTTGAGGTTTTAAGGATTATGGGTTCTAATGTATATAATTAAGTGAGATAATCTATTATAGCGTTTCATGGCCACATGTATATGTTATGTATCTATATTGTATAAATAGTATATAATCGTGTATATATAATGTATAACTATATGTAAGAAATATATATGTCCATATATATATATACAAAAATTTAAAATGGAGATAGAAAAATGACCATTGATTCTACTATTAATTTAATGAGATAACAAATTTATCAAAACAAATATAAAATAATAATAACAATGGGATAAAATAAGAGTGGATACTAAAACTCAGTGTTGGTATAGCTGATAATTAGGCCATTGTTGGTTAAAACAATTTCCGATTGACCATTCCCTTAACTTAACTATTTAATAGTTATTTGAGAGGAATCTTAATAGTTATGTTGGTTAGCTATCTGAACTTCCATCTTGTTGGTGATGATTCTAATCTCGTAATTCTCATTTCCCTTTCCCTTATTCCCATTTTTTTTTTATAAAAAAATAATAGTACATGTTTGAGGGTGCACACGTTTTTTTTTTTTTCAATTGGAAAAAGATTCTCCCAAACAAACGCAACAATTTAATTTTTATTTTTAGTTCTGTTTGACTATTTTTATTGATAGAAAACAATAGATATATAAAACATATTCGTTATATATGACAAAAAAATGGCATCTAACATTTTCTGATGACAAACTAACAGACGACTCACCATATAACAACTAAAAGTCACCAATTTACCTTGAATTATCAATAATTCAATAAATCTTTTAAAAAAAATTTGTATCAAAACAAGTCATGTACCTAAATTAATATTCCAGATAGAGAAAAATGTGCGTGTCTTTCAGAACATGCCTCTACGAAGAGCTGTCAGAGGTCGTCCGGCTAGAAGAGATGTTGAACAACAGGAATAAGGGGTACCTAATGCACCAGACGTGCAACTCCAATAAGAGGTCACCAATGCTGAGTTCCGTGAGGCCATCCGGATGTTGAGCCAAGTTGTGACCAATCAAGTTGGGCAACAGAGAGAGAATCGTCAGGAAGTGGCTGATACTTCTAGAGTCCGTGAGTTTTCAAGGATGAATCCTCCAAGCTTCATAGGATCAATTGTTATTGAGGATCCAGAAAACTTTGTTGAGGAGCTTCAGAAGGTTTTTGAGATCATGCATGTTGCTGATACTGAGAGGTTGGAACTAGCTGCATACCAAATGAAGGGTGTCGCTA